GCCATTCTCCTGTCTCAGCCTCCCGGGTAGCTGGGACTACAGGTGCCCGTCACCTCGCCCAGCTAGTTTTTTTGTATTTTTTAGTAGAGACAGGGTTTCACCATGTTAACTAGGATGGTGTCGATCTCCTGACCTCATGATCCGCCCATCTCGGCCTCCCAAAGTGCTGGGATTACAGGCTTCAGCCACTGTGCCCAGCCTCCATCTTGCTTCTAATCTCTAAGCTGTCCTTGTTCATTTCTGGGTGTAGGCTGAACTAATTTTGGGAGAAACTTAGTTTATAAACAAAGACGGTAACAGCCCTTTCCCAAAGCAGACTTCCTCGTTGCCTGGGGACTAGATTGCCTTTGTAGGACTAACATTAGCCACAAGATTAGAAATTATGGTTTAGGGCCAGGTATGGTGGCTCACGCCTGTAATCCCAGCACTTTGGGAGGCCGAGGTGGGCGGACCACCTGAGGTCGAGAGTTTGAGATCACCCTGGCCAACATGATGAAACACAGTCTCTACTAAAAAATGCAAAATTAGCTGGGCGTGGTGTGCATGCCTGTAATCCCAGCTACTCAGGAGACTGAGGGAGGAGAATCGCTTGAACCCGGGTAGTGGAGGTTGTGGTGAGCTGAGATTGCGCCATTGCATTCCAGGCTGGGCAACAAGAGCAAAACTCCATCTCGAAAAAAAAGAAATTATGGTTCAGGAGTCAGGCAGCTGGAGACTACAAGATTCGGATCCTCCCTAAGCTGCTCCTAAGATCAGCGCTTGAGATATTTTGCAGACCCTGCACTTGATGGATCAGCTGGTATCACCCAGATCAATAAACTGGCTCCTCTGATCTTGTGGCCCCCACCCAGGAATTGACTCAGTGCAAGATGACAGCTCTGACTCCCTGTGATTTCATCTCTGACCAATCAGCACTGCTGGTTCACTGGCTTCCCCCACCCACCAAGTTATCCTTACAAACTCTGCTCCCCAGATGCTCAAGGAGACCAATTTGAGTAAGAATAAAACTCCAGTCTCCCGCACAGCCGGCTCTGCATGAATTACTCTTTCTCTATTGCAATTCCCCTGTCTTAATGAATCAGCTCTGTCTAGGCAGCAGGCAAGGTGAACCCCTCGAGGGAGTTACACAACCTATGTCTCCCGGGTTCAAGCAAT